AGAATTCCAGATAATCATGCAATTTCAGACCTATCCATGTACAACTACATAGAGGTGAGTAAGGTTTGGCTTTATTCCATGAGCTGGTTCATTGATATCTTTGCTCCAGCCCTTATCTCATGTATGCTGCGTAAGAATAGGCATAGACAAGAACATACACAGGGAATTCCTTGGATGTGGGTAAACACTGTGACTATGTGGCCAGGGATGGTCACACACACACACGTGGTTTCTGCCTACACTTCAGGAACATTTAGGAGGTAACAGAGATGACATAATCTCTGGTAATTTACATGGCAAATTACATCTTACACATTTAATAGAACTAGTAATATGCTATTTTAATTAAAAAATAACGTTCAGACGTGTTAACATATTTAGACAATCTAAGAGATGCTAAATGGCCTTTCACTGTCAACATGATAGACTGCATATTTAGAATAGCCCTGAATATCCCTTGGAGGCTTCCGTGTATAATACCAAAGAAATTCATGGTCAGAAAGATTAGTGAACCAAAATACATTACTTCCATTTTGAGTAAGTGCTATGGAAACCTCACAGTGTTTGTGATTATAGTTTTAAAATAATCAAATGAAAAAATTTGCAAGATAAATGTAAAGGAGAGCGCACGTAGCTGTTTTCCATCTCTCCTGAAGACAGAAGGGAAGAAAGTGACCTCAGCCTGAGATTTGTATCCTATGTGGAAGCTCTACAAGGTACTGGAAGGCTTTATTGATATATCCTGCCTGAGTCTTTGAAAATAGGATAGCTACAACACAATATTTGTCCTGAATAAGGATGAGGTCAAGTCAAACACAGCTTTAAACGATCCTTTATGGCTTCAAACTAAAGCCACAGAAAATTAGTCAAATCTTTGAGCTCAAAGATGACTCACATTTCTGGATGAACAGACCCTTTGCTGGAATGGAATTCTTATATGGACTCTTGAGAAAAATGGATTTCCCTAACAGGCTTTATGTAATTGCTATATATTTTCAAGGTAAGGTCCTATATTATAGACATTTGCTAAAAGGCATTGGAATGAGTATTATAAAAATCAAAATTCATCTGACTACTTTGTGTCTAGAGCTGTTCACAAGTGGGAATGATGAAATAATGAATTGTGATAAGAAAATGTGTGTGCTTTGTCCAAACCTATTCTTTAAGACTCTTCTGTCATTGCAGATGCGAGCCCATGTCAACTCAAGGTGGTTCATTTTTCAGAAGAACATAGTGAGATTTCTTCATGCTATTATGCCGTCCACCTTTATCCCTCTCTATACCATGGTGAGGTCTGGACTTAAGACTGCTCCTCATTTTAATCCTCTGTTTAGCTATGAAAGAATATACAGCCACACTTTTTAAACTTCCCCACAGGTCGTCTTTTCCAGAATGAGATACCACGAGGCAGTGCTGCACTGGCATTGGCAGAAAAAGGTTGGGACACGTCAATTTAAAAAAAAAAAAAATCTAGTGTGTTGAAAAATCTGGTGTCTGCTATAGTGTTGTGTTATGGTTATGTTTATTTCAGGCAAATATAGAAATTATGGGACAGATAACAGATGTTTGTCTTCCAGACCAAAAACAAACAAACAAACAAACAAAAAACCAAAGTCCTTAGTACACAAAGGGCAGGGTGCTTAATGAACATCGCAAATAAGAGACAGAGAGAAAGAGCTTTTAAGGAGAATAAATCAAAAAAGAACTTGGTGCTAATATTTTCCAACTTCTTACTATGTTTTAGCAATGTGAACAATTCCTGCAGTATTCTTATGGATTTAATTTATAATATTGAACAGAACTGAATCACTTATAAAACACTAATTACAATGCAATGCCACCACACATTCATTTGGGGCCACGGACCCAGGAATACCATTAAATGGAATTCAAATTCTTGATCTTCCACTTTGGGAATCTTACAACAAATATTGCACAAACATTGAATGGTCATGATGATGAGTAAGACTCAGTCTCCCCCTATCACATAGCTAGAGGCTAGCAGAGGGGACAGAGGACTGAGCAGAGAGGGATAAACTGCCTCTGAGGAGAAAGGGAGTGGGGCTGGACAAGGGAAGGCTGGAAAAACATGAGTACTATGCCTGAGTAGGAAAGGCCAGAATGTCAGCGGAGCTGGAGGGCAGCACACATATGTGAGAATGGCCAGCTGGAGGGCTAGACAGGTAAGCAGAGCCTTAAACATCTGGAATACTATCGTAAGAGAAGCAGGGAGACCAAGGAGGCAAATAGACTCAGGTCTGAATTTTAGAAAGATTACCTTTCTATATGGAGAATGGATTGGAAGGAATCGAGATTTATTCATACACCATTAAAAAAGATGGAGCCTTTACAATTTTTACATTTACCTGGATGGAGCTGAAATATATTCTTCAGAGTAAAGTACTGCAAGAACGAAAAAATAAATATCCAATGTACTCCATACTAACATGAAATCAGTATATAAACAATCACATGTTCCTAAGAACAATAAAACACGAATATAGTCCAGTTCGGGGTTAGAGGGAAGCTGGGGTGGGGGTGTGGGGGAGAATGTATGGCAGAAGGAGGGAGGGCATGAGGCGGGACCTCACCTACTGTGCACGCCCCTGGGGTGAGGGGCTCTTCTACAAATGGAACTGTACCCTGGAAGTGAGAACAATGTAACCTAAATGTTGTACCCTCACATTAATTTGGATAAAGTTTAAAAAAACAAAAGACTTATCCATACGAAGATAAATAGTGTCCCTGTCCTTAAGGAACTAAAAATCATGGTAAAAGAGGCAATTAGAATGCAGGACAGCAAGTGTGGTGACAGAAAGGGGCCACGCTGACACTGGAGTGCACCAGACCACGATCAGAATGGTTCCCTGGGTGTCTCAGTCAGTGCTGTTGGCAAAGGCGTGGTGTTTAAAAGTGGTCGTATAGGTGGGTGTGTCTTCTCAGCCACAGAGGCGCCTTACGGAAACTTTGTGCAGCAGCCGAGATATGACTGACTTGCTTGTGGCCTCAGCTCTCTGATAGGACACAATCCCCAGCTGTGTTTCTAAACCACAGCGGGAGGGGGTTTATGGCTGTACAAAGGCTGACCACTAAGAATTCCTCATACAGAGCACCTGGAATCAGGAGTTTCTTAGGAGACAGGGAGGAGGGAAACTCACAGTTCTTGGCCTTCCCTTGACTTTATCAATCCATTGGCAGGTGGTCATGCAGTGAAATTGCTGTTTCAGGTTAAAGAACAAAAAGGAAATTGTACACTCTTTTGTCATTTAATTAAGAATGAAGTCTATTTCAAGATTTTATCTCTGCACAAATGAAATAAAAGTTCTTACTGTCTTTACAGGTAATAAATAAAGGACTCTTTTTCCTCGGATCACTGACAGCCATCGGTAGCACCTATTTGCTTATGCACTACCTGCCACCAAGACTTCTGGACTCCTTGAGAAGGCCCTGGGACTGGATCACTTACTTCTGGAATACAGAATATTATTTCCCTACAAACTCCATGGAAGCACTAAGTTAATTCCCAGTTTCATTAGCAGGTGTTATAAAGGCTCTAAGGTAGCAAATGCTTGATTTCTGTCACCAAAATTAAGGATTAAAAACATATTTCCATCACCATGTTTCATTTACTAATGATAGTAGTCAGCTTATAATTAAATTCAATGTAAAATTTTGCTCTGTGTTCACTGCAATGATTGGGGGAAAATACCAGCACTTTTTTAAAGTTGCGACACACAGCTTCCTACCACACATGCACACTCAGGTCAGGTCATTCTAACTATAGAAGAGCAATGACGAAAATCTCTTTCACTTCTTAAAAAGGCCCCATTCTTAAAAATGACCCCCATCCATGTTTTTTCTTTAAAAAACATAATAGGAGGCTCGGCACCTATAGCTCAACCGGCTAAGGCGCCAGCCACGTACACCTAAGGTGGCGGGTTCGAATCCCCAGCCCGGACCCGCCAAACAACAATGACGCATGCAACCAAAAAATAGCCTGGCGTTGTGGCGGGCGCCTGTGGTCCCAGCTACTTGGGAGGCGGAGGCAGGAGACTCGCTTGAGCCCAGGAGTTGGAGGTTGCTGTGAGCTGTAATGCCACGGCACTCTACCCAGGGGGACAGCTTGAGGCTCTGTCTCAAAAAAAAAAAAAAAAAAAAAAAACATAATAGGATTCACAACAGGATTGTTTCAACAACAGGGACTAAAATTGCCTAATGCATGAACTGCGCTTGTCACGACCTGAATTGAATTTATCTAACCACGGGGATCACACTCAATGCTTTATAAAACCAAAAATGAAAATGAAGAATTCTGGGGGGTTATGGAGAGTTACAAAATGAATTCATTTCATTTTCCAGTCGTCAAGTGCCAGTATTACTTTCTAAAGATAGGGAAAAGGCTATTAATGTTGTACCAGGGCTAGGAAAGGGTTGTATTTGTAAATTAAATGTCTACATACAAAAGAGAGTGAAAGGGAAACCAGGGGAGACAACCATTTGTACTCTTGTACAAATACAAAGCCACTGTTTTATTCCATTTCAGACCCTCTGAAGCAATTTAGTAACTTATTCTTCAATTTACATCCTGTGGCAGAACCAGCAATAAACTTGATTTTCAAAAGTACTTTGAGTAAAAAGGTTTTCTTTCGTTCTTCCTTCTTCAGTAGGGTAACTGGACCACTCATAAGTCCTTCAAACTTGATTAATTATGAAAATGCAACGCTAGAAGTAGCCATCTAAGAAATAAAAATTAGGCTATAAAATGATTCATTCTCTTCCGTATAGTCAAAAACAATCCTTGAGCACTAATAATCTATGTTTAGTTTGTAGGAGAGGAAAAAATAATTTCTCCTTCTACCCATCTTTAGGTTCATTGGCTGGGGCCTCTTTAACAAATGACAGATTATCAAGAGAAAACATAGAACTTTATTAGCATTTTATGTACACGTGGGAGATGCTAGGGAATGAGTAACTCTCAAAAAGCTAGCTCAGAGTTCCCTAGCTTACACATCTTCCAAAAGAACAGTAAATTTTTAGACAAGTGACAAGACAAAAGAAAAGGAATTGTGAGAGTCAAAGAAGTATTTGGGAGTTTGTTATGTAGATTCTTCTGGTGCTGGTTTCCAGGCTGATCATGATTGAAAGGTCTTTCTGGTGATCAACCTTGCCCTTTCTGGTAGAGGGGAGAAGTTACAAAATTTATGTCTGGCTTTTGGGCAGATGGGGGCAGGCAGAGATTGTCTTGCATCTGTTGTTTCTCCATTGTCTTTAGCTCAGAATAATCCGTATGCCAATGAGGCATATTTGGGGGTAGCACACCCTGGTCTCTTGCAAGACTAAGCAATGACCCATGGGAAAACGGCCTCTTCACTAACACTGACCATCTTCTCTGTAGTGGACTGACTGCTGAACAAAAAGGATTAACACTTTCAAATGTTGTCTGCTATTTCATAACACTTCCTGCAAATCCAGAACTTTTGGCAAAATTGTGGGAATTTATCAAAAGGAGAGTTTAATTCTGCCATGATTGTGTTTGAGATGAACTAGGTGGAGACACCACTGTGCTATCAACACCATCTTCACCATGCACATCTTCTACTGTTGTATAGTTCATTTTACACTATGATTAAGTTAAAATTCATCATCTTGTTCTTTTGCTCTAATGCTTCTCTGTAGTATCTTCTAGAGCTTGGTCAGGAGCATGTTAACGGACGCTCTCCTTTGTCATACTGTACATACAAATCTTTTGTTTTTGATAAAGTTAGAGGATTGATATTGTTTTTTCATTGTAGAATTATGTCCTTGATAAATCTGATTTGGTCAGACCAGATATATGATGTGACAAGATACAGAGCCCAACAGCTCAGAAAATTGAACATTTGCTAGCTGTTGTACACATATATATGAGACAAAGGTAATTGTGCAGTGAAGTCTTTTTGAGAAAAATGTTTTATGTGCTTTGGAAAATATAGTCATTTAAAAAATAATTTTGAAATGAAAATCTTCAGCACGTTAGAAGATGATGGTGCCAGATGCCCATCTTGTGCCACAAGTGGTTTTTCATTATGTAAAGCACCCGTTGAGTTGAAATAATTTGTTCTTATTCAATTGCTTCCTGAGGCCAGAGAGCATATGGGCAATTCACATTTCTGGCTGGGCCACCAGTGTTCTGTTGATGTTACATAGAATGAGGCTTCCAGAATACGCCTTGTAATGGAAATAGAAGTCCACAGTGGCATCCAATCTAAGGCCCCATCTTTCATTGCCTACAAAGGACGAACTTGGATTACATCAACCTTGGACCCATTGGTTTTGTCACTGTTGTCAACTGATAGTGATTCGTCACTGGTGATGATAAAAATGATGGAAGAAGAGTTAAAAGTCACTTTTTTCTTTGGCCTGTCCCCGTCTTTCTGTGACATCACGATAGGTCTGATCTGCATTTCACTCTCCGCTGCTGGTAGGTCTTTAGCAGGTCGCTGGCATCTCAGCAGTCGGAAACATAAGAGCTGCAAAAGTGATCTACGAAACTGGGCAGAGAAAAAATAAAGTTGAATGCTAAGTAAAAGTTTGGCCTTTAACCTGGATTAACATTCAAGGAAATTAGTTGAGTTTAATTTGGATTGTGTTTTGTTAGCTACAGTGGATATAGAGTTATAGAGTAATGTTCAGATCTACTGAGGTCACACTGGAGTTTTATGTCTTTTGTTATAATTCTTATCAAGCAGACTACACGGTATTTATTTCAATGCCTTAACAACTCCATAGCTTCAATTTGCATGTGCTTTCTATGAGGGAAGGAAGCTCGATCTATTTCGTTAAGGGATTTTGAACATTAATTCAGTCTACGAACATTCAGTGAGCAGCTATTGGGTGACAACCCCTGTACTATATTCTGTATTATAAGCAGTAAAAACAGGCAAGGCCCTTCCTGGCAGAGTTTACAGCCTGCTTTACTCACTGATGGGAGTAATGAAGCAATTTTTTTCATTTCTTTCATGTTTACTAATCAGCTGGGGATGAAAATACTACAGTCAGGAATACTAAGGTCTCCAATACCCGTGATTATTCTGTGTCCTGGGGACAACACTGAAACCTTATTTCTCAGCCCCCTTTGAGGGGCTCCTCTCTGCTCTTTCCCTTCTACAACAACCTTGGAGACCAGAGTCTGAAGACAGTAACATCACAAGATGGAAGGAACCTAGATTTCTAAATGACTGCATGGAACACAGCCTCCTCTTCCACCAGAACATTAGACCCCAGACTCTGGCCAGAGGGACCAATAAACTCTTTCTGTGTTAATCCAGTGAAATGTGGGGGTTTTTTGTTACAGTGGCCAGTCTATCATGACCAACAAAATATATAGTTAATTTCACTGGCTTTGTTTAAAGAAGAATAAACATTTAATACATAGATTTGCCCAGAAAAGATCAATAAAAATATAACAAATAGCGACATTGACTTCTATCTTCTTTGACCCTCAATTATATGTTAGCATTTAGTTTATACTCAGATTTTGAAACAATTATTTGCCTTTACTTACTCTTCAAACCATTGTTTGGTATAGTTAAATGCCAAAGATAGATTATTACAAAGACTAAATAGGTTATGTATGCCAAAAAGTATTTTTCCATACAAACAGTAAGTTCCTTGAGGACAAAGATTATTGTCTTATTTATTTGTTTTGTCAGCTTATTGTATCTTTTAGACTTCTTGTTTAAACTGTGCCCTGGAGAATTAAAAACATCAGGACTATATGGAAGCTCGTTTGAAATGCAGAATAGTGAGCACCCAGAAAATGCATTTTTAGTAAGATTTCTAGGTGTGGTGTAAGCACATTAATGTTTTAGAAGCATAGCCCATTGGCTGAGAGAAAGGGCATAGCAAACCATTGTTACTGAATGTATCTAAAATTTGCTATTAAGTATAGTATCTTAAAATATCTTATTCTCCTATAGAAAGTTAATTAAAATTATAATTCATCTTACTAGAAAAATTCACGTGTACACATACTCAAAAAGTTTTATAAACAATTTCCAGAGTTTTAATGGCTGTCCCGAGGCCAGTTCAAGGGATGCTTAGGTCCTAGGGAGCAAGTTTAAAATCTCTGGATTTTAAGGAAATAGACAAATGGTAAGCAACAAGAAAGGTGGGAAAGATGACCAGCAAAAGGAGATTAGGCCACATGGGAACAAGCTGATGAAGAGGGTAACTCAACAATAGTCAAAGAAAAGAAAAGGCGTAAGAAAGGAGAGGGAGATTTAGGGCTGAATATAATAAGGTTATTATAAAAAAGTTCCCTTTTCTCTCGAAATCTCAGGCTTTAGAAGTCAGAGTATTTATTATTGTTTGTTAGTATTATGAGCTGTTAGCTTTAAAATTCCAGTAGAATAATTAACTTCTACTCTTATCTTTTAAATTTTATAGATTTTGAAACTTTGAAACCCAGGGGCCTGGCTTCATATTAATCATACTGGGGCTCTTGTAGCCAGGACTGATGGGACAAACCCTCTCTACTACAGAAACAGATGAGAGGCTTTCCAACAGACCTAAAGGAAGTTTCTTGAATCAAATTAATTTCGTCTAGACATTGGCCACAGCATGTAAATAACAGTGCAGATCAATTGCTAAAAGTTATCTATTATATTACCTCAAGTGAGGAGTTATAAGCACCAGATTTGGGTATTTCAAGCAAACCAGGTTCAAAACCTCATACCAATACTTTCTGAATCAGGCGAGTTATTTAACTTCTCTGCATCTGTTCATCCCATGAACAAAATAAGAAATAATAATTATGGAGCTTTTAAAGATAATCAGTGTAACCTACTTAGTACAGTAAGAATTTTAAATGTATCATTAACTTTGTAGCTGTTATTATTAATACTAGGTATTAAACATTTGATAATGAATGAAATGTTAATTTGAATACAATTTTACCTAACAAGTATGACTCTCTATTGGTAGATCTTTAAATTGTTATTATTTTCTTTGGAGATATCTTACATTTCTTCCTGGACACTTTACATTACTATGAATTCCTGATTTATGTTTTTGTCACTGAAGTTGCTCTGAATTACCTCTACTGAAGTGTTACACTGTACTTTCCAGCCCCACTCCCAGGGTAAAAACAATCAGTTGATTACAAAGCTTACCTTTCTGAGCATGAAGATATAAATCACTGGATTATATACAGTGTTTGATTTAGCCAAGAGATATGAAACGATCGACACTGTTGGCGTGACCAGATGTCCCTGACCATTAACCACTAAGAAACAGATCACAATATAAGGCATCCAGCAGACCAGGAAGGTAAATATCATAAAGAAGCACATTTTGGCCACTTTCTTTTCATATTTTAAAATCTTGATGACTTGTGTTGTCTGAAGATCTTCAACACAGCGAAGCTGCAGAAAGGAGAAAGGAAGGAGGGGTTCACAAAACGAAAGGATCATTTTCTTTTGCTGTTTTGATAACAGATATTCAGACACTATCTTGGCCCCAGCATAATGAAAAGAAAACAGAATAGGACCTTGTGAGGCTGACGTCTGATCCTAGACCAGCTGCTGGGCACAGTTTTAATCTCTCTGGGCCCCATTCCCTCACCTGTAACCTGTTATGGTTGAACTATGTAGCCTCATAAATCCTTCTGTGGCTTGTAATGCTTTTCTCATTTACTCAATACAAATAAAATGAATTATCTTGATTAGATCTTAAAATTGCTAAAAGTCTTAATAAAATGAAAACGATTTCTCCAGGATCCTGGAAACTCTTTTATCCAGAGCATTCATCCTCAAGTTCTTAAACCATGTCAAGCCAGGAATTCCATACGGTTAAGCCTATAGCTGACCTGGATGAGAACTTAATTCTCAAATGAATTCTTGCTCGAAACTACTGTGCCTTTCAATTCATGGCTAATGAGTATAAAGTGAAAACTGATGAGGAATTTGCAAATGGTTACATCAGGGGCTCATTTGCTGAGGAAAGCTCCTGATAAAGCTCAGGGAGCCCCACTCCTTTAAAACGAGCACACCCGCTCCTACTTTGTCCCAGGACAGATATGGAAGAGGAAGGATAGACAGTCTGCAAGTTCTCTGAGTTTCCTGGATAAGTGTCTTTTAGTTGTTTCTCTTCTAAGGGAAAGAATAGTCAGCACCAATATGTTCATAAGTAAATTTCTTTTTCTGAACATTGTAGGAAATTATACTAATTTTGCCACAAAAATACGAATGTTTTATACATCATATATTGACTTTTAAAAAGGTGCCAGGTATACTGCTGATACTTAGTACTGATCATTTTAAGCTTGGAAATTTACTGCATTTCAGTGAACTCTAGTGTACCTTTTACCTCTAGCATTATCATAAAAATTAAGAGAAAACATTTCTCTTAAATGAAGAGAAACACCATTTAGAACATGTGCTATGTAAAAATGTATTTGAAATGAAATTTCTAAATTATTGATAACATCTAAAATTATATTTAAAAACCCATGTTCTTATCAGAATCATGTATTCGGGTTGTCAAAGAATAAAAGGAAACAAAAGATTAAAATTGGTGATATAACCAGCACATTGTACCCCATAATTGCATTACTGTACACAGATATGATTTAATTTAAAAAAAAATTGGTGATATACAGAGTACTGGGAATGTATGGTTGGCCGTGAGTCTTAAAATTCTGCTATGATTATTATGTATGTGTAATTCTATTTTAATAGGAACTATTTTTTAATGTGATAGAATATTATTCAGAACATCATTTGGGGGGGTGGGGTTCCCCTTAGTCTTTATAGGGAGGTTGTGGGGTCTGGGTAAAGCTCTAGATTTGGAATTTAAAACTCTGGGTTCCTACCCTAGATTCACCATTTTTCTCCCAGTCTGATATTGAGCAAGTCAATTAATTACCTTCACCGAGATAAAGATGAAAGGGGATAAAAACAAACAACCTACCAGACTTAACAGTGGGTTCCAGTTCCACACATGTGATATTGTGCGGGGTTTTGACATTAAATATTTATTTATATTTGACACTTACAGTCTTATATGTGTATGTACTTTTACGATACTACAGAATATTTGGAATCATTATTTTGATTCTTCATAGTTTAATTAACTAGTCATACATAGTAATAACCACATCTCAGTTATCTGCCCCCCAGCAGGGTCCCCACAGTTTTATCTGTACCATTTTCCCTTTCTCCCCATCTGTCAAAGTGTAGCACTGGTTTATCATCTTGGAATTACATGCCCACCAGACTTCCCCAGCTCCTCTTTGGAATAAGGAAAAGATCCTGAATAGTGTTTCAGACTATTTGGGCTTGCATACGTGAAGCTTTTGTAATTAATTTTTTATGTATCTCTTTGGGGCCTATTTGCTACATTATTCTCTGGTCCTTTATTCTGAAATATTTTCCAAGTAAAGAGCCCTACTTTACATCTCACACCCTTTATTCAATCATTTCAGGATATCTTTCAAAATTGCTACAGATAAGGCAAGAACACATGGACAAATCGTCCTGAAGAATCAGCCACTTACAACAAATTCTCCAAATGTGGAGCACTGTCTCCACAATTCTCTCTGAAAGTGTTCTCTGACTACACAAATGACTAATGCCTAGTTCTTATTGATCCAGACACCTGTAGATTTTCAAAGACTGCCCCTCACACTTGAGTGAGTAGCTCTGTCTTCAACACTGATAGGAGTTCCCCCTCTCTAAACAGGAAATGGAGGCAAATTACTTCCACAGAGTTCTAGTGAGGCAATGACACAGTCTAAAGTTAAACCTCTTTGCCCTTTTGCCCCATCCTCATCTTCCCCTTTCTGTGCCCTCTGCTTGTAACTTATTCCAAAAATAGTCTGTGATCACCCACTACATGTAGATACTGTCCCAGCAACAGATGAAGAGATAAGATTCAGCTTGGGCTCTTGAGGTAGTCACTATTTGTAAGGGTGACAGGCACACAAATGGACAGGGGAGGCTGTGTGCAAACCTGGGAATGGGTAACCAGTACTGAAAGTGGGTTAGAGCAACACAATTCTCCTGTCAGCCCTCAGGAGTTAGCCAGGTAAGGAGGAAAGACAGGATGTTCCAGAGGAAAAAAGTGTGCTGAGACAAAGAGGCCAGAAATATTGCAGCAAGCTGGAGCCTGAGGTGGCACGAGGAGGGGACTCTTGAAAAACGAGAGAGAAGATGCCACGGAGGACCTGAGAGCCACACTCAGGGCTTTATGTTTATTCACAAAGATGATGGCAGCTCTGACGGTAATACTGAGAACAGTTACTCTGGAGGGAGTGTGAGAAGAATGGATTAGACCAAATGATGGATCAGAGGAAAGCAAGGATACAGGAAGAACTAAGATCCTTGTGAACCGAGCCTGTGGCAGTGGGAGAGGGAAATAAATGGATTTTTTGCAAGATATTTAAGTGAAATAGGTAAGAATTCATCATTGGTTGGGGGGGCATGAATAAAGAATATTCATAAAGATCACTCCCTTATATAGCGAGGAATGATGAACATTCAAAGGGAAGGGAATGGAGGAGTGGAGTTCTGGGGGAAAAGATGCCCTGTGTTGAGTCTGAGTCTGCGAACGGTCTAACCACAGGTACGCAACAGGCAGCTGACGATGAGAACCTGACACAGGTCAGGAGACCCCAACTGGAAACAGAGATTTCAAAGTCATCAAGCTGAGGGCTTTCATGAATTTGGGAGGGACACAAACATTCAATCTATCACAGTAAGAAATCAGGACATTTTAGATGCTCAGTGAGTACTGATTAAACAAATGCTTATTCAGTGATGATGTGGCACCAGAAGCCACCAATGTCTCTTTGAGTTGATCAGAAAGACAAAAATAGGGTGATAGCTCCAGGGAGCTGAGAGTAGATTTCATTTTATTAAAAAAAAAAAATTGGTGTGGTAATATGGTAACGGGAGAAAGCCAGTAGAAAGGGAGAGATGGAAGATACAAATGAGAGAGAAGATAATTAAATTGGGGAGCGGCCCCTGGGGCAGAGAAGGGGCTGAGGGATCAGGTAGTCCTGGGGAACCTGTCCTGTCACACCCTGAACTGAAGAGCGAGGTCGAAGCATCAGTGGTTTGTAGACAGAAAGGCAGGGAGTTCAGGAAGTTGTGGATAATGGCTTTACAATATTCAGGAAATTGTTGATAAGGGCTTTACAATGGGTTTACAATAAATAACAAGCACAGGTATTTGACAGGAAAGAGAGGGTATGGTAAGGCAAGAGATTAAAATGGAAAGTGAGGATTTGTAATAGTCAAGGTTTGGGGAGAGGGGACCTTATGAGGACTCATAGATGGCTAGATTGGGCTGAGTGGACGTCTGAGAGTGGACATGTGTGGTTTTTTTGTGTTTTTTCTTCCAGCTCCTCTTTGTAGTTTGACTATAGGCATGGAGAACACGGATAGCTAGGTTGAGCCAGGGATTTTTCTTTCCTTTTAACAAAACAAGCATGTATAAAGAAAACAGGAACATGTCAGTCGAGGGCAATGAATCATGATTTAAGGTGATGCACGTGGTTAAGTCTGATTTAGAAGAATGGGTGAAAGTTAGAAGGGTCTGATGGAGTGGCCAGGCTGGAGAGCTCTGCTGGAAGTAGGGAACAGAGTCAGCAGTGGGTAAGGAAAACATCTGTGGCCCAAGTTAGAGACTGGACTGGAGGGTGCCCCCCCCCTGGGTGGTTTAGGTCAAACACCCTTCCTACTGGCACCAAATGTGACACCTGTTTGTGGTCAGTTCTTCTTCTCCTTATGGTTCTGGTGTTCTTTTCAGATAAAACATCTGCGCCATTCTCTAGTAATGGGTTTGTATAAACTTTGAATAAAATTACAGAAGTGTGCAATTCCCTTTTTTAGAGTTTTTAAATGTTAAGAGAGCTGGGTAATGTTGGGCCTTTTTGGGGGGGGGGGGTTGATGATTCTGCCTGTCAAGAAGCCTTTGCTTCCTTCTTCTGGTTTAGAGAGTGATGTGGAAAGACTAAACACTGTTTCTCATTGGTCTTTTCAGACAGTGACTCATAGTGCAAAACTCAACCCAATGGGAAGTTCCCTAGTATGGGTCCAGTTCTGGGCAACTACTGACCACATGGGAAGAGTTTGACTCCTTTCAGCACAAAGTTTCTGCTGTGGTTTGGGGAAAAGGTATTTGTAGTCTTCGACTCACCATTCGAATGGAATACAGAATATGGCCATAGCAATGGGCTACCACGCCCACAGGCACCACCAGGCAGCCAAGAAACAAGAAAAGCACAAAGGAGGAATCGTTGGCGTCCTTGGATTTCCAGTCCACAGTGCAGCCTAGTCCGTGCACATCCAGGATGTACCTGTTCCAGCCAAGGAGGGGTGCTCCTGCCCATGCCAGGGAGTAGAGCCAGATGTAGGTAATGGCCCTCCAGGCCCAGGAAAAATTGATCACTCTGGCGTGGACCACACGAATGTAACGTTCATAGGCCAGCACAGTTAGGGTAGCAATGGAAACAATCCCTGAAAGAAGAGAAAGTGGAGAAGTATAGCATGGTGCCAGGGAAAACCAGACATACGAGAGGGGATACATTCTGCAGAGGATATACCTTACAGAACATCTGAGACAGAGAGGGGGCTGTAAAAGCTAAAAGACCTAAGGGTCAATGCCCCTTGGTCCCTAGGAAACTTGATTGAAAACATATTCATCCATAGATGAAAACATAGAAAATTGGCACATAGTTTGAAGTAGGGAAAAAATTAAAAACCCTAAAATTAGCCCCACCCCCATGGTGTGGCTATTGTATTAAATATTCTCCCAGAAAGGAACTCTACAGTGAGTCAGGGAGAGTTAGTAGAGCAAGAGTCTCTTTTAATTCTGCCCTCTGCTCAGCTATCATCTGGCTTGGCTATGAGGCAGCAAGACAAAAGGGGGTTTCCAAAAGCTCAAACTGAGAAAAGTCATGGTAAAATGATGTGAAGGCTGCCGTAACCTGCCTGCGGGCAGATGTCAGCATGTGACCTGTTCCCATGCAAGAATGGCTGACAAGGGTGGGGCATGCCTTCTGTGCTTCCACGGTCTTCATATATACCTCTATTCTGCAACAAATCCACACAAAATAAAATTAACAATATTATTCACCCGTTTCTTTGTAGCTCCCCAGAGTGATTGATTCACTCAATAATCACCTACTGAGCACCTACTATTTGTCAGGCACTGGCTGACACTGAACATCCGATGCTGACGAAGAGGAAGGACTCTGGATGTTTAAAGGGACTGGAGAGGTGTACACAACTGACACAATGCATCAGGGTCACAGAAAATAAAGCTTTTGTGTACCAGGCAGGCAAAGAACATTCCAGAAGGATGAAGAATTACGTATCAGAGCATGGAGAGGTAAAAGGACACAAAATGGGCTATAAATGATGAACAATCCAGAGATGCCAGGGCCAGAGGAGATGGAGAGAGAAACTAGAGAGAACAGATGAAGACACACTGGGGCAGACTTTTAAAGTTTCTAGCTAAGGTGTTTTGGGGGGGTGACCTTTTCCTATGTGAAAGAGTAAATTATTAAAAAGCATGAGAGGAACACAGTTAAATTCCCTTCTTCTTCTTCCTTCTTTTTCTACGGAAAGATACTCACCTAGCAGTAGTATGGAACTTGAAACAGTCCGGGGCCATGGAAACCAACCTGAAGGCTACTGCAGCAGTTCAGGCAAAATGTAATGGGGCCCCAGCCAGGGTGACTTGAAAGGCATGAACAGCAAAGCCTCGGTTGCAGAGACGGTTAGCGACTAGTATCCACAGAATATGGCTGTTTTGTGAATGTGAAGAGTGAGGGGAGAGAGGAGTTAAAAATAACCTGGCGACTTCTAACCAGCCTAATAGGTAGACGGTGATTACATTCAGTGAAATCAAAAGTACGAGGTTTGTGAGCAGATACTGGGAAAACCACGAACTTGTGGGAACGGAGATCATCAGCATTGGTATCTGCTGACTGAGTGGACAGAGAGAGGTTGGAGAAAAAGTGGCTCAAATGCAGAATGGAAAGAAAACTGGTCTCCTAACAAGAGGGAGAGGTGTGGGGGAAGTCATTAATGGGCCCAGGGGCAAGGCCCGACTGCACACCAAGTTGACAGCACTCATCTTCTCCTTTGCTTGTCGGAGTGTTCAGGAAAATGCACCGATTATGCATCAGGTCCCCATGAGCATCACTCTGCATATGGTGTGCCTCCTTTTGGAAAAAAAGTTCTGTGGTTCTTTGTGGGCCCAAGCCCACGATTTTGCCTTTATTATCACCTTCTGCCACTAGAGGGCGGCTTCTACTTCCCCACAAATTCTATTGACACTACCAGTAGAGTGATGCCTGGGCTCTCCCTGCAAAGTGGCATGTTGATCAGGTGTGTATGAAGTTCCTACTTATCACTGTGCTGAGTAGGCATTATACGAGAAACCAGAGACTTGGGGTCCATACCCTTGAGGAGACTACAATACTATATTCTTATAAAACCAAGACTAACCCGTACCCAACATTAGAGGGCAATGCAAGATGATATGCAGTCATGTGTCAAGGTTATGGTGCAAGAAACAAACCATGAAAAGTAAAATCCCAGTGGACTGTGTTGAAGGAATGGCTTCATTAAGACATAAAATTTGGCTGGGCACAATGACTCATGCTTATAATCCTAGCACTTTTAGGAGGCTAGTTGGGAAGATTGCTCAGGCTAGGATTTCACCAGCCTGAGCAACATAGTAAGACCCTGTCTCTATAAAAAATAGAAAAATTAGCCAGTCACAGTATCTGGCACCTGTAGTCCCAGCTACTTGGGAGCTGAAGCAAGAGGATCACTTGAGATCAGGAGTTTGGGGTTGCTGTGAACTATGAGGACGCTATTGCATTCTAGTTTGGGTGACAGAGCAAGATCCTGTCTCAAAAAATAAAATATAAAGTATAAAATAATAAAAAAAATGGGTCGTAAAAGGTATTAAGAAACAGAAAGGATTGGTATAGGCACTTCTGGCTGGAAGAGCAATTTCTACAAAGACAAAGTGAGCCTTCTTGAATTCTTGCAAAAATGCCTTAGATTCTGGGCTTAGACCAGGCCTGAGACTGGACAGGTCCATTACTACTGAGGATGGTGCAAAGCTGATCCCACCTTCTATGGCTGTCCATGGTCCACAGCAAGGATCTTCAAATTTTTCTTCTAGTGTTTCTCCTAATAGAATTTGAAAAACTATGCACATATTCATACTTAAAGGGTGAGACTAAAAAATGGCTTATAGATTAAGTTTCTAAACTTTATAATAATATTCACCTGATCAAAATATGTCAAATATTAAAAGTAATACAAAACACACTTTTTATGTTATAAAAGTAATATTAAAATATAATTAGAAATGTACCTCTTAAAGAGATCACTGTGGCTTTCTTTCATCACAAAAAAATACATCTGTGATTACTATTACTATTACCTAGAATGATGCAGGATCAATTTTACTCCTATTTTTTCTGTGTATAAAGTTGAAGAAAGATTTATTGATCACATTCATCTTCAGATGGCAATAGAAGGGGATTTGTTATTTTCAATTCTTATTAAAATTGAATGTAGAGCATTTCTTCTACATAACTGGAAGTCATCTGAATTTATGTGCCCAAATCACAGTGCTTATTGTCAAAAATTATTTTTAATGATCTACCAGCTAAAAACTCAATTTTATTAAAAGCAAATCATAAGAAATCACCTGAGTTATCAGTTACTTCCTCAATATCTTCATTAATATTTTAAATTATCCCTTTGTTAGCTCTCCTGGAATCTACCCCTCCTGCCCCCACTGGCAATATTCCACAGTAAGATTTTATTTTGGAAAAGGTGAGGAGTTTGCTTTTTGGTGTAATATGGAGAATGGTGATTGAGGAGGCGTGTGCCTTGAGAGCAGGTAATTGATTTCTAGGAAAGACTCCAAATGGAAATTGAGGAGTTAGAGATCAATTCTCATAGAACTCTCCTTGGATAACTATTGGGAAGGGTTTATGTGCCCCTAATGGTTCTGAAGACAGCAGTCTATAAAATCTAATCTTCACTGCACATCCTTAGGCTTTGTCTAATCTTGCCGCATTGCTCCCAGCAGGACACAAACCATGCCACACTCTGCCAGCCACATTCACTGAGAGCTGGCTGCCTTGATATCGCTGTTTCTTCTGTCTGAAATGCTGACAAAGACCTCACAGTCTGGAGAAGACAGACGTATAAACTAATAATTACAGGAATATGATAAAAGCTGAAACAAAGCTGTGTCTGGGGAGCTGGGGAATGCAAAGGAGGAAGTACTGATCTCCGCCTGGGTAAATAAGTAAATGCTGGGGAAGGTTTTAGAGAAAGCAATATTGGGATTGATGAATGGGAGAAGTTTATCAGTTGACAAAGATGAGACTATGCCAAGGACAGTGTACAAAAGCGTGGAAGTCAAGCAGAGATAGTCAATTGTCAATTCCACGCATCAGTTTGACTCAAATACTTCTTTATAACTTACTTATAAATGCATATACAACATTGATCAACCCATAAATCATATACATACAGTGTGCGAGGCACTGTGTTAGGCAATAGGAAAACAAAGATGAATTATAAACAAATAAATACTATAAAACAATTTGATAAATTCTACAATAGAGGAATGTGTTTGAGGCCAAAGTCCTGGATTGAATTTCTGTTTTTTCCCATCTTTGCCTAATGTTTCAGGTGTCTGACTTTGGATATGTTACTATTTTTTAAAAAAATTACCTGTGACTCTGGAAAAGTTAATTAATACTATTTGCTCGCCACTAAAATTGGGATAAAAGTACCAAGATATTGTCTCGTGTTGGTATATTAAATGTGTTTAGTAAAATTGTAATAAATAAGGTATTATTATTAAATATTTGAATATATTTTAGCAAAACTGCTTAAAGTGGTAGGATGTAGGCAAAGGCACAAAAGTGGATAGAGCTCTAGAGCTTAAATAAATGGTGAGTCAACTAATATGTAAGAATACCCCAACATAAAGGTATTTTCTCACTTTGGTCACTAGAGGGCCACATTGGCCAGCTTATTTATATGTAGTTCACAGTGTCTGGGTGAACAAGTTCAAAGCGTCTAACTCTGGCTAAACCAAGTGATTAGAACAGTTACTGCCTGGGCCATAGCCCACATCTGTTAATCTCTATTTATTAGATAAAAATATTAATATGACACAGTTCAATGTCTGCCAGGAGCACACACTCCAGAAAAGGGAATAAAAGGAGAAACTGTCTAATAGGGAAGGAAGAACATCTAACTCAGATTTTCTGTGGGAAGAAGATACCAGCTAAATGAGTCTTAAAGATTAAGTACATGTTAGCCAGGCAAAAACAGAGCAAGGGGGAAAGGGCTGCCAGTCCTGTCCCAGGAAGGAGGAACAGCCTGCGTCAAAACACGGAGGCCTGACAGACCTGGTGCCATTTGGGCTCCTGAAAATAATTCAAAATCATAGAAGTGGAAAATTT